CCGAATAAGGCCCAACAGTATCCAATAATCTCCAGTTGAACCGAATAAGGCCCACAGTATCCGTTAATGTCCAGTTGAACCGAATAAGGCCCAACCGCATCCCTTAATGTCCAGTTGAACTGAATAAGACCCAACCGCATCCGTTAATGTCCATTTGAACCAAATAAGGCCCAACCGCATCCGTTAATGTCCAGTTGAACCGAATAAGGCCCAACAATATCGGTTAATGTCCAGTAGAACCGAATAAGGCCCAACAGTATCGGTTATTCTCCAGTTGAACCGAATAAGGTGTATATATATATATATATATATATATTTATTTATTTATAAATGTTTTTTAAATTTTTTCCTAATAAAGGTATATATATATTTATAAATATAAAGAAATTTTAAAAAAAATGGTTTTTATATTTTTTTCCTAACAATATATATTTTTATAAAAATAAAGGTTTTTTCTTATAGTTTTTAAAGTTTCCGACGGATTTCCGACGGAATTTAGTTTTTTTTAAAATAAAAACAAAATTCCATCGGAAATCCGTCGAAAATGTTAAAAATGTTTTTTTAATTTTTTTCCTAACAATATATATTTTTATATTTTTATAAAAATGTTTAAAATTTCCGACGGATTTCCGACGGAATTTAGTTTTTTTAAAAATAAAAACTAAATTCCGTCGGAAATCCGTCGGTAATTTTAAAAAATGTTTTTTTAATTTTTTCCTAACAATATATATTTATATATTTTTATAAAAAGGTTTAAAATTTCCGACGGANTGTTTTTTTAATTTTTTCCTAACAATATATATTTATATATTTTTATAAAAAGGTTTAAAATTTCCGACGGATTTCCGACGGAATTTAGTTTTTTTTAAATAAAAACTAAATTCCGTTGGAAATCCGTCGGAAATTTTAAAAATGTTTTTTTAATTTTTTTTCCTAACAATATATATTTATATATTTTTATAAAAAGGTTTAAAATTTCCGACGGATTTCCGACGGAATTTAGTTTTTTTTTAAAAATAAAAACTAAATTCCGTCGGATATCCGTCGGTAATTTTAAAAAATGTTTTTTTAATTTTTTCCTAACAATATATATTTATATATTTTTATAAAAAGGTTTAAAATTTCTGACGGATTTCTGACGGAATTTAGTTTTTTTTTAAATAAAAAGTAAATTCCGTCGGAAATTTTAAAAAATGTTTTTCAAACTTTTTTCTAACAAAGGTGTATATATATATATATATATTTAATTAGTGTTAATCTAAAACAATTTCCGACGGATTTCCGACGGAATTGGATTTGTTGTTATTAAAAACTAAATTCCGTCGGAGATCCGTCGGAAATTTTTTTGGATTAACGTTAATTAATTTATTTAAATGAATTAGACAAAATTGGCAACGGATTTCTGACGGATTTGTGACGGATTCAAATAAATAAGAAATCCGTCACAAATCCGTCACAAATCGGTTTTAACTAATTTTAATTTTTTTTTCCAAAAAAATTCAGTGGGGGATTTGTGGGGGATCTGTGGCGGATATGGATAAATATTGACTTTGTTTGACTTTTTTGGGATCCGTCGGAAATCCGTCGGAAATATTTCCGACGGAATTTCCGCCAGAAAAAWCCGTCGGTGATGCCCTTTTTTTTAGTAGTGTGTGTGTGTGTGTATGTATGTATGTATATATGTATGCATGTATGTATGTATGTATGTATGTATGTATGTATGTATGTATGTATGTATGTATGTATGTATGTATGTATGTATGTATGTATATGAGACACGTGATACGCTCTCATTTATCTCACTGTTCACAATAGATGATGAACATGCCTCTATATAGGATTGTATAGGAATTCTTTCCCCATGAAAATCTCTCATAGCCTTTAGATGAGTTTTGTAGTTTGATATCGCGGTTTGAAAAGAAAAAAAACAGTCGTGCATTGATTGTCCTTGGATCAAATGCGTTGAAAAATGATCGACGACCACAACGGGTTCCTACAGTTCTCATGAAATGTTGGAGTTTTACTGAAACTCTACCATATTTTCGAATAATAAAGCCATAAATTTTGAGGTGACATTTTGAAATTTTATACGACTAAATCACTAATTTTATCCACAAAATTACTAGTCCATTTTTTTTTTAAATTTACCATTTTCTGTTTAAATAAAAAATGAATTACACATTTTATTTTAAATAAATTATCTTAAACATGGAACTGACTCGGCCTTTAAGCATTTTTTATCAATGGCTTAAAATCAAAATGGCGATTTTGTAAATAAATTGTAAAAATTGGAAGGAAGGGTAAGTTGATGTTTATTTTTTAAAAGGTGTTGAAGTCTAAAATTTTATTTCACTTCTGATTTATAAGAGGTGGTGTTGAAGTCTGAAATCTGAATCGATAAGACTATTTGTTTTTGTAAATTAATAAACGTTTGAATTTGTTTAAATTTTTAATTTTACCCATTAAAAATTATAGTGATGAATTTATAAATAAATTTATACAGTTTCACATATTTATTCATCATCATTATGCAATTTATATCTAAACTATATAATTAACATTCATTTAAACGAAAATATGTTGTTAACGGTATTTGACACATTTACATCATATTAAAATACATTAATCGAGAGAGGTGAGGATTAATTTGATAAGGATCGATTGAGAGAAATGATCGATTAAGGTTAATCGATTAAGAAACGTCGTTGTTGAAGATTTGAAGAACAATAAGCGGTTGATTTACCTCTTATCAGATAAGAAGAAAATAAAACACAAGTTCTTACAAAAAATTGAAAAAAATAAGCAGTCTGAATGATTTTACCTCTTAACGAATCAAACATAAGAGACTGATAAATTTTTTTTTAATGAAAAACGTATAAGGTCTAAGGTTTAATAAGATATATCGCATGTAAATTTGGAAATTGATATAAAATATGAAACCCACGTGTCTTTCATGTATTTAATTTTTATTTGTTTGATTAAAATATTTTATCCATTTTAATTTTCAATATAAATTATTTTTAAAATATTAGATATTTTAATCCAATAAATTACATCAAAATGATCTCTAAGTGATTGCGTTAATTAATGGATCTTTATAAACCATCGTAACCATGACCATTACAAATTTTATAGCATAGGGACCAAATCAATCATAGACATAGTATAAGGACCTATTTATGAAAAACATCAAAACATAAGGACCATATATGTAATTCCTTCAAGATTATGG